GGTTTAGTTTGTGGTTTCTAATTATGTTGGATTTAATTTTGTCGTGCTGATTAGCTGATATATCCTATTTCAAAGATTGTTGAGATAGTGTACATAGTATGAGATTATATATGTGTTTTGGTATTTTTAAATGTGGATGCTTTACATTTTTCTCATATTTCAACTCCTTTATCACATTCTTTGAAGATATACATGATAAGGCAAGAGAGGTTGTATAGATAGAGCTAGAAAACCTTTGTAATATGGTGGTAATATACTTTGTTTACAATTTCTTTGTTATGTGTTGGAGAGACTTTTGATCTGGATTTTTATACAATTCAAAATATAAAATAATTCAGGCAAGAATTCCGCATCTTCTGTTTTATGCCATAATCCTTTATTTTTATTTTATTTAATTTTAGAGAGAGGGGGATGGAGGGAGAAAGGGAGAGAAACGTTGATGTGTGAGAAATATCAATTGGTTGTGTCTCACACATGTCCTGACTGCGACTCAGGTATGTGCTCTGACTGGGAATGGAACCGGAGGCCTTTCGCCTTGCGGGATAATGCCCAGTCAACTGAGCCGTACTGGTCAGGGCCATAATCTTTCTTTAATTGTGTTCTCTTTCTCAAGATTTAGTACTCACTGAGGTACAAATATTCACTTGGAAGGTCTTATTCACAATCATTATGCCTAATTATGCACGCTCTTCCCTCAATCTTATAAAATGCCTTTTTTTACTAATGGTTTTGCCTCCGAAGTTTGAAGATTCTGATCTTTTCCTCTCTTCTTTTCTGTTCTCACTACTATCATTCCATACTATGTCTCCTCCCTTTCTTTATCATGCAATATATGAATGTCAGTTTATGTTTCCTCGATCAATATACTCGTCTTTCTCTTGTATAGAAAGCTTCACTGACTTCTCACTGTTTTCCCAGTTAACTCCAGTGTCTGACACGTGACTTGGGGCAATCTCTATATTTGTCTCCAGCCAACCATTTTTGCTGAGTGTATCTTTCGTAGCTCTTACATTTTCCATTGCTTATGTGTTGCTCATGTCATTTCCACCAAATGGAATTTTCTAGTCTCCTGGCTAATCTTTGTTTTTAATATCCTTCATGTACTATTTAATGATATAGCCTATGATCTTATTTTTAAAATTCTGTGGACAATTAAATTGTCTAACTGCATTAAGATGAAAACCTTGTCTCAAATCCCTGGCTCAAGGTATAGGTGCGTATTAGGAAGGATTTAATGTTGTCAGTTTTTCTTGCATTTGGCAGAAATCCACAAAACTGGGGACATTTGTTGATTTTGGGCATTTGATGATTTTTAGGTTGATCCAAATTGCCCTGGTTTCCTGTGTAATATTGGTCTTACCTTAAATCGGTGAATTTTCTGGGTTGACTCAGATATCTGGAATGCAAGGGGAAGTTTTATGGCCATTGGTTATTTTGGAGTAAGCCCTTCATCTATTCAGTGATACTCTTAAGGAGTGCCAATCTAATTGCTTTCCCCTCCCCTCCTTTAAAAAAAAAAAATGGAGTTTTGCCATGACTAGTGCGGTTCAGTGGGTTTGAGCACCAGCTTGGGAACCAAAAGGTCACCAGTTTGATTCCTGGTCAGGGCATATACCTGGGTTGTGGGCCAGGTCCCCAGTTGGGGATGGATGTGCAAGAGGCAACCTGTTGATATTTCTCTCACACATCAATGTTTCTTTTCCTATCTCTCTCCCTTCCCATCCCTCTAAATAAATAAATAAAATCTTTAAAAAAATTAAAAAATAAAGTTTTTTTAGGACTTTGTCCCCGTGACATTTATTTTTATTGTAAGGTTTCATTATTATTAGATTTTTCACATATTCTCCTGTTGGAAATCATGTATGATAATGTTCTTCATGTAATAGGACTAGTAGTATATATTTTCTAAAACTTTACTCACTGTATTAGAAAAACAAGGTACTCTGTGTGCATGTGTGTATGTGTGTGTGTGTTTTGCCTTTTAAAAAAATTCAAATATATCTGATTCCAGGCCTTTATGTTCTGTGTACCTTATTTATACAAGTTCTTTTTCCTTTATATCTTTTTTAATTGTATTATTTTCTATTATCATTTAGTTCCCTTATATCCCCTTCCCTCTTTATATCTTTCTTTAAAAGATATATTTCATATGTCATAAAATTCCCCCTTTTATGGTACACAGTTCACTGGTTTTTGGTATATTTATGAAGTTTTGCAGTTATCACCACCATCTAATTTTAGTTTCTTTTTTTTTATCAACCAGAAAAAAAATGCGGTAACCATTAGCTGTCACTCATCTTTGCCCCTTTTCCCAACTCCTGGCAACCACATCTACTTTATGGATTTGTTTATTCTCTAGATTTTATATTAACAGGGTCATCCAATATGTGGTCTTGTGACTGGCTTTTAAAAAAATTTACCATCATTTTTTTAAGTTTCATCCATAACTTAAGCATTTCATCCATATTGTGCCACATAGCAATACTTCATTAATTTTTATTGTAATTGATACTACATTGTATGGATATACCATTTTTACTTATTCATTCATCAGTTGATAGGCGTTTGAGTTGTTTCCAGTAATGCTGAAATATGAGTATTGAATATTCATGTACAGGTTTTGTGTAGACAAGTCATTTCTCTTGGATATATACCTAGAAGTAGAAGTGATGGGTCAAATGGCAACCCTAATTTAAAAAAAAAATGTTTTTTTAAAGATTTTATTCATTTATTTTCAGAGAGAGGGGAAGAAAGGGAGGGAGAAAGAGAGAAACATCAGTGTGAGAGAGAAATGCCATGCCTCCAACCATGGACCTGGCTTGCAACCCAGCCATGTGTCCTGACTGGGAATCGAAATAGTGACCTTTCAGTTCACAAGCTGGTGCTCAGTTCACTGGACCACACCAGCCAGGGCTTTGTTTAACTTTCTGAGGAATCTCCAGATGTTTTCCAAAGTGGCTATGCCATTTTACATTCCCACCAGCAGTGTATGAGGGTTCTAATTTCTTCATACCCTTGCCAACACCTCTCTCCTTCAGATTCTTTTTGATATTATTGTAAGTAGAATTTTGAGTGTGAAATAGTATTTTATTGTAGCTTTGATTTGCCTTTTGCTGATATCTAATGTTGTCAAGCACCTTTGTAGGTGCTTATTGGCCATTTACATAGCTCATTTGGAGAAATGTTTATGTCTTTTGCCCTTTTTAAATTCTGTTATCTTTTTTATTTTAGAGTTGCAAAATTTTAAAATATATCCTGGATACAAATCTCTTATAAATGATTTGTACATTTTTCCCATTCTGTGAATTTTTTCCTACCCTTTTTAATGGTATATTTTGTAACACAAATTTGTTAATTTTGGTGAAGTCCAATTAAAGTTTTCTTTGGTTGCTTGTGCTTTTAGAACCATATCTAAGAAACCATTGTGTAATACAAGCTCATGAAGATCTGTCACTTTGTTTTCTTTGAAGGATTTTATAGTTTTAGCTCTTACATTTAGGTCTTTGATCCCTTAAGAGTTAATTTTTGTGTATGGTATGAGAGTTTAACTTCATTCTCTTCTATATAGGTAGCTGGTTGTCCCAGTATCATTTATGGAAAAGACTGTCATTTCTTTATTGAATTGTTTTGGCATCCTTTTGAATTGACCATAAAATGGAAGGCTTATATCTAGCTTCTCAGCTCTATTGTATTGATCTATCTGTTTATCCTTAGTGATATGTCTATATCATACTGTCTTGGTTACTGTAGTTATATAGTAAGTTATAAAACCTAGATGTGTGTGAGCCCTCCAGTTTTGGTTTTCTTTTCAAGTTCATTTTGCCTATTCTGAATCCCTTACATTTCCATATGAATTATAGGGTTAGTTTGTCAATTTCTGCAAAAAAAAAAAAAAAAAAAAAAAGGCAGCCAGGATTTGATAAGTGATTTTTTGATTCAGAACAATTCGAGGAATATTGCATCTTGAAGATGGTAAGCCTTGTGATCTATGTACATACATGATTGTCCTTATATTTGTTTAGGTCTTTAATTTTTTTTTAACATGTTTTGTAGTTTTCAGCATACAGATTTTACAATTTTTGTTAAATTTATTCATAAGTATTCTTTTTGCTGTATCGTAAGTGGAATTGTTTTCTTAATGTCATTTTTGGATTGTTTACTGCTAGTGTGTAGGAAAAATACTCAGTTTTGTATGTTGATCTTGTAACTTGCAACTCTGTTGAACTTGCTTATCAGTTCTAGTAGTTTTTTAGTGGAGTCTTGAGGATTTTTTTGTATACAAAATCATGTCATTTTCAAATAGAGATAACTTTACTTGTTTCTTTACAATATAGATGCTGTTTATTTGTTTTTCTTTCCTTGTTGTCCTGTTCAGATATCTAGTATAATGTTGAATGGAAGTGGTAAGAGTAAACCTTGGTGTACTGTAGTGTTCCTGAGCTTAGGGGAAAGCATTCAGTCTTTTACTATTCTTTTGTTAGTGCTGAACTTTTTATAGGTGCCCTTTATCATATTACGTTCCCTTCTCTTTCTATTTTGTTGAATTTTGTTTTTTTCTCATGAAAGAATTTTGGATTTTGTCAAATTCTTTTTTTTCCCTGTCTGTTGACATGATCATGGCGTTTTATTTTTTGGTCTTTTATTAACATGGTGAATTACATTGAATTTCAGATATTAAACCAAACTTGCTTTCCTGGGATCCCTGTTTTTTATAGTGTATACTTCTTTTATGTTTTTTTGAACTTGATTTGCTAATATTTCCTTGAAGATTTTTTGTGTCAATATTCATAAAGTATATTGATCTGTAGGTTTTTTCCCCCTCTTTATGTCTTTTTGTTTTGTTTTGTGTTGTTTTGTTTTGTTATCATAGTAGTATTGCTGTCATATAATGAGTTGGGATGCGCTCTATCCTTTTTCAGTTTATGGAACAGTTTATGAAAGACTGACGTTAAATCTTTTTTAAGACTAAAGATATTTTAATTCTTGTTTTTATCTTTTAGGATTCTCCTTTTACAAATGCAGGAATGGGATCTAATCTAAATCTCTTGGGTGAAATTGAGTGTGATGCCAGCATAATGGATGGAAAATCCTTAAATTTTGGAGCTGTTGGAGCACTGAGTGGTATGTGGACACTATAATACACCATCTCTATTCTTTAAAAAACTATGAATTAATTACCATTCCATGCTACCTAAAGACTTAGTTCAGTTTTTTTCACTATTCTTGCTTGGAATAGTGTTGGAAACAAACATTTTTTCTTTTTTAAAGACTTTATTTATAGATAGAGGGGAAGGGAGTGAAACATCGCTCCCCAGCTGGGGAGGTGCCCTGCATACCCCCAGTTGGGGATGTGCCCTGCAACCCAGGCACGTGCCCTGGCTGGGAATCGAACCCGTGATCTTTCTGTTCATAGGTTGGTGCTCAATCCAGTGAACCATACCGCCAGGGCCATTTTTTTCTTGTACTGAATTTAAAACATGAAATTTTAGCTATAGCATGTCTTTGTTAGAGTTTGATCATTCTTCTCTATCGCTGCAAGCGATTATAGACATTTAAAATGGATCAGCAGATTTCCATTCAAGGTAGTGGTGTAGGCAGACATGGCTTGATTCTTCGCACAACCACATCAAAATTACAACTAAAACATACAACCATCACTCATAACTGCCAGAATTTGAGTTGAATGGAAGTCTGATTACAGAATTAAAGAGACCACTTCCATTCAGACTGTTAGGAGGGGACACTGTGCCATTAAAGGGCACATACTAGATTGTGGCCCCTTAATTTGGTGGTTTGGATTAACAGAAAATAGAAAACCCAAGTCAGATATGGATAATTAAGCATTTTATTAAGTGAAAGCAAAGTGAAAGCAAGAATCAAGAGCATACATCACCATATGGGAATTCACCAACACCCAAACATAGATGCTGGGGAATTCCAGAGGCAGCATTTGGGGTTGAACTGGGAAAGCTCTGAGCAAAGCGTCCTCCTCTCAGGTAGGATTCCAAAGTCTCACTTTGGGGGCTAGGCTTAAATGTTTCAGACAAAAATGGCTGTGTGCCGAGGGCCTTGTGTGATTTAGCTAACCAACAGGTCCCTCTGGGAGAAGGGCCAGTTCTCCCTGAAGGAACAGTTATATATTAAAAGTACTATTCTCCTGGGGATAAGGGCCAGTTCTCTCTGGGAGATAGCATGCCTATATTTAATTACCATAAAGGTCACAGCTCGGGCATAAACAAGGAGGATTCTCAATGTTCTTTCAACCCCTCAGGCACAGACATGGAATGGGCTAGTCTCTCACCCTGTGTGGTAGATAAAAATTCAGGAGGGTTATCTTAGGATGAGGAGTCCCAGCCACGCACCAGTCCCCCCGGCCCTGGGTTTCTGTTCCAGGAGATAAGTCCCCACAGCTTCTGGCTGTAAAAACCAGTGGGGAGAGTGAGTCAGTGGAAGGAACTGCTGGAGCCCTAAGCAGTTCCTCTTAAAGAACCCACACACAGACTCACCTACTCAGACTCACTCCCTCAGGACTCCGGCACTGGGGTGGTAGTATGAGGGGCACCAGTGGCATGCAGCAGGAGGCTGATGTGTCTGGCCTCAAGGCAAGCAGAGGCCACTGTCCCTTTTCTGGGCCTTCTGCCCACAGAGCTGCCAGGCTGGTGCCTGAGCTCTGGCTAATACTGTTTGACCTGCCTTGGAGAAACCCAGCGATTCCGCCCCACCCAACTTACAGACCCACCCAAGCTGCTCTTCCATATGAATGGCTGATCTTGGCTCTTGCTTCACAATTTCCTAAATCCTCTCAAACAAGCAACAGCCTGTCTCATTGAGCCCCAGGCCCAGCACTAGCAGCAGCCAGCCTAGATCCACAGCTTGGCTTCGCCTGGAAATCTCCAAGCCCAGCACAAGCAGCAGCCATCTCAGATTGCTTTATAGCTCAGGCAGGGTGTCCCAGGCAAAACATAAGTGGGGGCTGACTTGACCGGCACTATCCAGGAAACCCAGGGCCAGCGCACCCAGGGAACAGCTACAGACCATGTCAGAGCACCATGACCCTGCCTCTGCACAGCTGATCCTCCACAGAGGGCGAAGGTTGGTGGTCAGGGGTCAAAGCCAGTCTTTCCAGGTGACAGGCCTGGGTAAACCCCTCCCATTCACCCGTCAACAGCATCCATGCTCAACTACAAGAGGAGGGTGTATTCAGCCCACAGGAAGGGCACACCTTGATAACAGGGAGGCTCTGCCACTGGACCCTAAAGGACACCTACTACATTAGGCCACACTACCAAGACACAGAGTCAGAGCAGCTCTACCTGTGACACAGAAACAAACACAAGGGACGCTGCCAAAAGGAAGAGACAAAGAAACGTGGCCCAACCGAAAGAAGAGATCAAAACTTCAGCAAAAGAACTAAACAAAATGGAGATAAGCAATCAGATGCAGAGTTCAAAACGCTGGTTATAAGGATGCTCAAGGAACTTAATGAGGACCTCAACAGCATAAAGAAGATCCAGTCACGTATGAAGGATACACTAATTGAAACAAAGAACAATTCACGGGGGAGCAAAAGGAGAGTGGATGAAGCCGAGAATCAGATCAATGATTTGGAACATAAGGAAGCAAAAAGCAACCAGTCAAAACAACTAGAGGAAAAAAGAATCCAGAAAAACGAGGACCGAGTAAGCAGCCTTAGTGGACATCTTAAAGCATTCCAACATTCGCATCATAGCGGCGCCAGAAAGAGAAGAGAAAGAGCAAGAAATTGGAAATCTACGTGAAAAAACAGTGAAAGAAAACTTCCCTAATTTGCTGAAGAGAATAGACATGCAAGTGCAGAAAGCACAGAGTCTCAAACAAGATGGATGCAAGGAGGCCCACTCCAAGACACATCATAATTAATATGCCAAAGGTTAAAGATAAAGAGAGAATCTTAAAAGCAGCAAGAGAAAAGCAGATAATTACTTACAAAGGACTTTCCATAAGACTGTCAGCTGATTTCTCAAAAGGAACTTTGCTGGCTAGAAGGAATTGACAAGAAGTAATCAAAGCGATGAAAAGCAAAGACCTACCACCTAGATTACTCTATCCAGCAAAGCTATCATTTCGAATCGAAGGGCAGATTAAGAGTTTCCCAGACAAGAAAAGAAACTAAAGGAGTTCATCACACCAAACCATTATTATATAAATTGTTGAAGGGACTTATTTAAGCAAAAGAAGATCAAAACTATGAACATTAAAGTGGCAATAAATACATAACTATCAAAAATTGAGTCTAAAAAACAAACTAAGCAAACAAGCAGAACAAAGAATCATGTATATAGAGAACACTGGGATGTTGGTCAGTGGGGAAGGTGGTGTGAGGGAAGGGGGGAAAAGGTGAAGTGATTAAAGAGTACAAATTGATACAGAATGGGCAGGGGGATGTTAAGAGCAAGTACAGAAAATGGAGTTGCCAAAGAACATATAAGAATTACCCATAGACATGAACAAAGGAGGGGTGACTGCCAGAGGTAGTTTGGCATGCTAGTGGGAGGGAGGGCAAAGGGGGAAAAATCAGAACAACTGGGTTAGCATTATCAATAAAAAATAAAATAATTTAAAAAGGTGAAAAAAGTGGCACCTAAAATCAAAGCCATCAATTTCCTTTAAAGAATAAACATAATTATAAACAGCTTCAAATTTACCTTTGTTGAAAAATTAATGGCCAAATATTTTAAATCTCACCTGAAAGAGGGACTGAATGCATAGGAAGTCCTGCGAACTAGGCAAGGGTGGGGAAAAGAGACCAAGTATACTCACATACAAGATTGTAACCTAAAGTATGGTTGACTTTTCAGGAGGAAAGCAGAAACAACAGGGCAGTAAGTATTAGTGTGAAAACATTATCTTGATGACAGTGACAGATATGACATTAATGGCAATGACAGTTTAGTATCTAATATGTGCCAGGCCCAGCACCAGTCCCTTAAATGTAATCAGATTATTTAATTGATCCCTTCATTCTATCACATAAATATAAATATGAAGCCTACCTTATTACTGAAGAAACATTCGCACAGAGGGTTAATTAAGTTATCAGTTCAAGATCACAGTGCTGAGATTTTAACACAGGCAGCTAATGCCAGAGAATGCACCCTTAACCACTAACCTATGGATGCTTCTTAGGATACTACTAATGCACAAAACAAAACAAAACAAAAAAATCAGCAGTGGGATATAAAGAGGATATAAAAACTAAAATTAAAACCACCAGATTGACATAAAATTGACTACATATATTTAGCTCAATACCAAAAACTGTCACACAAAAAAGCATGAAATACCAAAGGAGGAAAAAGCTCAGTTCTCTGAGCTTTTTACTTACGTATAAATGATTCAATATTGTAGACATTAATAATTGCAAAGTTAACTAATAAATTCAAACCTATTCAAAACTTCAAAAAGATCTCTGTGATGTATGAGAAGCTGACTCAAATTTATCAGGAAAAGAAAATTTTGGAAAAAAGAGGTACTCACCCAATGAGATACCACTTTTATTGAGAGCTATTCTAAAGAAGAGTGTGGTTTGAGTATAAAATACACAAATATATCAGTTGAATAGAGTTCAAACACTGACATAACGTGAATTTGAATATTTAATACATGATATAGATAGTATTTCAAATGAGTAGGACAAGAATAGGGTATATATGAGATGGAGAAATAACACAGACTGGGAGTCAGACTGTTTTATAACTGTACCAGCCATCCATTAATTGGTTCCCGGCTATAAATTTACCCTTTGTTGCCTGATCTGTCAAAATGGATATGGGCCCTTTAAATGTTTCCTTTGTCAGCTGCCATGCTGATATACTTCGTCAGTAGAGGGCACTGGAGACACAGTGAGGAGGAAAGGGTGACTGGCTATCAAGCCTCCTAGAAAAGTACCAGTTTTGCTCCACTATTTGGCCCACATAGGGGTCTCCAGGGCTAAGTGACTACAGGATGCAGTTTTCTCCAGCGTTGGCTACCACGTTTTCCCCAGTTCCTGATTCAGGCCACAGGTGCATATCTGACAGCCCGAGAAAAAAAGAGGACTCCACCTAATTCAAGTCACTGATCCCCACATCTCCTCAGCCTCACAGTCAACATGGCAAAATGTCCCATCTGGTTGACTGTCTAATGAGCCAAAAGCCCAATTGTTACCTGTGCAACAGAGGTTTATTTCCCATGGCTTTCTGACATCTGTGTGCCCACCTACCACGCTAAGCTCACCTGACTCCCCTCCCAAGATTATTCCTGCTCTCACACTGACTATGGCCTGGGTACCCCAGCAACTTCTCTGCCTGACAGTGGGCTAGAACCATACCTTCTACAACAAGGCCCGAAACCGTTCCAAGTTTATCTATTCTTGAGTATTCTCCTTCTGCCATAGGATATCCTTTGAGTTTTCTATCTTTATATAACTACTCTCTTATCACTAATTAATAATTATTTATACTAAACTTTTCCTGTTTAAACTACTGTGTGCTTTCTGTCTCCTAGTTGGACTCAGACTATTGGACAAATTACTAAATCTCTCCTGTGTCTCAGTTTCTTCATCTGTAAAATAGTAAAGAAAAATACTTCATAATGTTATTGAGAGAACTAAATAATTTAATATATATAAACTACTGGAGAAAAATGCATAGTATGTAATTGTTTTCCAGTTAATGATAATTACTATTGTTATTAAAAAAATTATATAAGTACAATATTTTGGTCATTTCAGAAAAATAAGCGATGTCTTCAAGCATTAAAGAAAAATATACTATACATGTATTAAAAGAAAATATAGGTGACCATACTTATGAGAGAGAAACCTTAAGGAAAGCAAAATATAAAAGCCACAAAAGAAAAAGTAGTAAGTATGAAAAATAAAAATTTTTAATCCCAATATGATAAAGTACATAATAAACAGCTTTAAAAGGCAAGCCACACAAGAGGTATAAACAGTTCACAGAAAAATGTTAATTGCCTTTAAACACATGAAAAGTCATTAAACACCAATAAAATTTCATAAAAAATGAAAATAAAATCAAAACCAATTGAAATAACCTTTTTTACCTATGACAGAAATCATAAGAGATATAGAATATTGGAACAAATGAATAATCAAATAGACATAGCTGACATGTAGCACATACAGCCAAAAATTGCAAAATACATACTCTTTTGAAGTTCACATGGAACATTTACCAAAACACACTATGATCTGGGCTATAAAGCAAGTCTCAAAAAGCTTTAAGGGCTTGGAATCTTACACCATATGGTCTCTGAACATAGTGAAATAAAACTAGAAATCAATGGAAGCAAACTAAAAGGTCTTTAGCCAAATACATTTGAACACTCATCTGAGAAGGACAAATTCCTTGAAAAAGATACATAATAAAAAGAAAATACAGCCTTATAACTGTTAAAGAAATTGAATCCCATATTTTAAAGCTTCCCATAAAAACTCCACTACTAATTTAGAAAAACTAATAAATTCCAATTAAAAGGAAGTCATTCCAATCATACACAAACTCTTTCAAAGGTCAGAGACAAAAAATCCTCAGCTCAATTTATGAGGCCAGGCATATACCATAATTCCAAAACCTGAAAGGAATATTATAAGAAAAATTAAAGCCCATCTTTAATGTGAACACAGACGTCAAAAATCTTGAACATGAGCAAAATATAAAAAAAATAAATAAATGTATAACCAAGATTTTAGCCAATGGAACATAAATTTCATCGTATTTAACAAAATAAAAGAGAAAAATTCATCTCAGTAGATGCAGAAAAGCACTTGATGATATTCAATACTCATTTATAATAAAAACTATCAGCAAACTAAGATTAGAAGAAAACTTCTTTAATATGATAAAGAGCATCTATAACAATCCTACAATTAGCAGCATACAAAATGGTAAAATATATAAAGCTCTCCCTCTAAAGTCAGGAACAAAGGAAAGATGTATATACTATTACCACTTGTATTCAACTTTGCCCTGGATGTCAGAGCCAGTATGATAATGCAAGAAAGAAATTAAAAAATTTAAACATTGTAAAGAAAAAAGCAAAACTGCCACAATTCACAGGTGATATAATTGTGTATGCAGAAATTCCAAGGGAATTCTTTTTTAACTTTAATATGCACTGGGAAACAACAAAACTAATTTCATGTGACTCATTTTAAAGGGATATTCATTATACTGAAGTGGTCTGGAACAGAACCAAAATATTTCCAAGATATGCCTATATGTCATTTGAATTTTTAATAAAAATATATTATTTCATATAAATTATTTCAAATTATAAATTAACATACTAACACTTTATTTTTTATTTTTTAATTATGTTTTATTGATTATGCTATTATAGTTGTCATGATTTTTCCCCCTTTGCCCTCTCTCCACCCAGCACCCAAGACTCCCTCCGGCATTCTTCATGTCCATGGGTCTTGAGTTTTAAGTCCTTTGGCTACTCCATTTTCTGTATTGTACTTTATAATCCCATGGATATTCTGTAACTACCTATTTGTACTTTTTAATACCCTCACCTCTTCACCCGTTCCCCAACACCCCTCTTCAGTTAGGAAACCATCAAAATGTTCTCTATATACATGATTCTGTCTTTGTTCTGCTTGTTTGCTTAGTTTGTTTTTTAGATTCAATTTTTGATAGTTATGTATTTATTGCCACTTTAATGTTCATAGTTTTGATCTTCTTTTGCTTAAATAAGTCCCTTCAACAATTTATATAATAATGGTTTGGTGTGATGAACTCCTTTAGTTTCTTTTCTTGTCTGGGAAACTCTTAATCTGCCCTTCGATTCGAAATGATAGCTTTGCTGGATAGAGTAATCTAGGTGGTAGGTCTTTGCTTTTCATCGCTTTGATTACTTCTTGTCAATTCCTTCTAGCCAGCAAAGTTCCTTTTGAGAAATCAGCTGACAGTCTTATGGAAAGTCCTTTGTAAGTAATTATCTGCTTTTCTCTTGCTGCTTTTAAGATTCTCTCTTTATCTTTAACCTTTGGCATATTAATTATGATGTGTCTTGGAGTGGGCCTCCTTGCATCCATCTTGTTTGAGACTCTGTGCTTTCTGCACTTGCATGTCTATTCTCTTCAGCAAATTAGGGAAGTTTTCTTTCACTGTTTTTTCAGGTGGATTTCCAATTTCTTGCTCTTTCTCTTCTCTTTCTGGCGCCGTTATGATGCGAATGTTGGAATGCTTTAAGATGTCCACTAAGGCTGCTTACTCGGTCCTCGTTTTTCTGGATTCTTTTTTCCTCTAGTTGTTTTGACTGGTTGCTTTTTGCATCCTTATGTTCCAAATCATTGATCTGATTCTCGGCTTCATCCACTCTCCTTTTGCTCCCCCGTGAATTGTTCTTTGTTTCAATTAGTGTATCCTTCATACGTGACTGGATCTTCTTTATGCTGTTGAGGTCCTCATTAAGTTCCTTGAGCATCCTTATAACCAGCGTTTTGAACTCTGCATCTGATTGCTTATCTCCATTTTGTTTAGTTCTTTTGCTGAAGTTTTGATCTCTTCTTTTGGTTGGGCCACGTTTCTTTGTCTCTTCCTTTTGGCAGCGTCCCTTGTGTTTGTTTCTGTGTCACAGGTAGAGCTGCTCTGACTCTGTGTCTTGGTAGTGTGGCCTAATGTAGTAGGTGTCCTTTAGGGTCCAGTGGCAGAGCCTCCCTGTTATCAAGGTGTGCCCTTCCTGTGGGCTGAATACACCCTCCTCTTGTAGTTGAGCATGGATGCTGTTGACGGGTGAATGGGAGGGGTTTACCCAGGCCTGTCACCTGGAAAGACTGGCTTTGACCCCTGACCACCAACCTTCGCCCTTTGTGGAGGATCAGCTGTGCAGAGGCAGGGTCATGGTGCTCTGACATGGTCTGTAGCTGTTCCCTGGGTGCGCTGGCCCTGGGTTTCCTGGATAGTGCCGGTCAAGTCAGCCCCCACTTATGTTTTGCCTGGGACACCCTGCCTGAGCTATAAAGCAATCTGAGATGGCTGCTGCTTGTGCTGGGCTTGGAGATTTCCAGGCGAAGCCAAGCTGTGGATCTAGGCTGGCTGCTGCTAGTGCTGGGCCTGGGGCTCAATGAGACAGGCTGTTGCTTGTTTGAGAGGATTTAGGAAGTTGTGAAATATGAGCCCATACCAGCCGGTCATATGGAAATGTCTCTGTTAACAGCTTGGGTGGGCCAGAGTCTTTAGGGTTGGGCAAAGTATGTTAAACAAGGCTGATGGAGTCTCAAATATGGCATCTGCCTGCTGGGTCTGTGGCTCTTTGCAGGAGGGCTCAGAAAAGTGACCGTGATCTGTAGCTGCCTTTCTGCCTGGGTGGAAGCTGTCCCCCAGCTCTCTCCTTGATGCCAGGCACTTCACTTCGTCCCTGTATGCCGCTGGTGCCTTTTAAGCTGCTACTCCGGTGCTAGAGCTCAGAGGGAGTGAGTCTGTAAGTCTGTGTGTGGGTTCTTTAAGAGAAAATGCTTGGGACTCTTGGAAGTAGTTTCTTCCACAGACTCAGTCCCTCTGGTTTTTGTAGCCAGAAGTTTTGGGGACCTACCTTTCTGGCACTGGAACCCTGCACTGGGGGGCCTGGTGGGAATCTGGGGCCCCTGGCTTTCAAGATATCCCTCCTGAAATTTTATCCACCAAACCGGATGTGGGACCAGCTGTTCTGTGTCTGCCCCTCCTAAGTCTGGATGCTTGTGGTTTCTTTAATTCCATACTTGTATGACTTCCATTCAACTTGATTTCGGACACCTTTGAGTGATGGTTGTTCTATAGTTTAGTTGTAATTTTGATGTGGCTGTTTGAGGAGGTAAACCATGTTTACCTCTGACACCACCTTGAGCAGAAGTCCTCTGGTGCCACTTTTTTAGTTTGTTTTTCTGTTCCATTATTCTGCAATCTATTGAAAAGGAGCCTAGTTTAAATATGCATTATTTAAAATTCAGTCATTAGTATATAAAAGAAGAGTTTTCCAAGATATTTAGAAGTATTTGTATTGAAATTGCCACAAAACTGTGGGGAACTTGAAAACTTTTTTTTTTGACTCCATTTTCTGCCACTTTTATTTTATAGGAATCAAGAACCCAGTGTCAGTTGCGAACAGACTCTTGTGTGAAGGACAGAAGGGCAAGCTCTCAGCTGGCCGAATTCCTCCCTGGTAACCACTCTGTTCTGCCTGACTTTCCCTCATCTTTGGTTTGTTGCATGCTGTGTTTGAAGGCTATTTTTATCCACAGAAAGTTGATGCTATGGTTTTATATCAACAGTAGCTTGCCTTAGTTGAAGAGTCACTTGTTCTGTGATCTTGGAACAATTTGTATACTTGATAGACGTCTTGATGGAATAGAATATTAAGAATTAAAGCAGAAAAGAGATCAGAGTTAATTTTTGGTTTTGTTGATTATACAGATGTTTTTGCTCGTACTAAGTACTCAACTAGGGTCTTTTTATTATGAAATTTTAATGTATCTTGTGCATCCCAGTTCATAGTCTAAACTAATTTTTAATCTTGAGGAATTCTTAGAATAAATACACTTAATTTTTCTCTTCTGTAGAAATACATTGTGACACTAAGATTAATAAGGTCACATCTTTTCTTCAGCATTAACATACAGTTTTCATTAAAAACACTTTGAACTTTTTCAAATATTTATAGAAGTAGAGACAACATTGTAAAGAGCTCTCATGAACCTGTCATCCGGCTCTAATAATTAAAAATGTTTTTTCTCTTCATCCATTTTATGCATCTCCTTTTTCTCTTAGTGTTTTAAAGCAAATCCTTGATAACATATTTTACCCTCAAATAGTTTTTTAAATTTGTCTGTTCCACAAAACATAATCACCATCTTGTTAACAAGCCTAACATTATTCACATATATGCCTCAATATTACCTCATACTCCATATGTGTTCAACATGCCTGGTAGTCAAGGTTACTTTAATGTTCTGTGTTTAAATTCATGACAAAATAGTACTATAGGTATCACTTTATTTGACTTATTATTTGAAGTCATAGAAAATAAATTAATACAGTTTTGAAAAATCTTGAAAACTTTTACCTAAATAAATTACAGGTATCCTTTTAATTACATACTTCTTAGGGGTTTAGTTGTGTTACTAGGAGGGTTGATTATAAAATATTTTCAAAGAAATATTAATTTTTAATATTTGTTTTCAATAAAACAATGGTATGGAAAAGCAAATATAATATACTGAGCTAATTTCTAGTAAGTGTTTAATTATTTCCACAGTGTTAAGTATAAAATACGAATAAGGAAAAAATAACCCAAAATTCTGAAAATTGATAAATGATATAAATAGTTAATTTATAGAAAAGAAAATATTGATCATGTATAAATGCACAAAATGTTGCCCAATCATAATATCAATCAAAGAATTGTGAATTAAAATGAGATGGTATTTTCACCTTATTTAAAGTAGCAAAGTTAACAAAGACTAATGCTATCTAGTATTGTTCAGGGTGTAGAAAATAGGTTTTTTGTTTTTCTAGTGGTGGGAACATAAATTGATATAGCTAGTTGAGAGACATTTTGGCATTGTTTCTTAATGTAAAAAATTTAGAGTGCACATGCTGAGTGCTCCAGCAACCACATCTTCAGACAGAATACCTTCACATATACACAGGAAGGCTGGTACAGCCAAAGAAGGCTGTAGCAATGTGCTTGTGATGTAAAAAACTGTACACAACCTAAGTCTTCATCAGTGGCTAAGTAAACTACTTCCTAGTTGTTCTATTAAATACTCTACAGCATAAAAGAAAAAGAGCTTTTATATAGTGACATGCATAGATCTCTATATTGTAGAGTAAAAAAAAAAATTACTGAATACTTTCAGTTTCGCTTACGTTTTCTTAAAAAATTACAAAATAATATGATGAATTCCTGTTTCCTACCACCCAGGTTAGGAAATAAAATACTACCAAAGGATACAAAGCTAACTAGATTGAACCCTTTCTAATGGCATCATTATCTTTCCCATTGTCTGTCCTATACTCTCACCCTGACCCCATCTCTGCCCTTGCCCCTAGGTAACAGTTGTCTGAAGTAAAGCTTTTCTCATTCTCATATGTTCCTTCGTAGTATTACATCACATATAACACTAATTTCCTAAGGCTACTTATATATGTACGTAGATGTACAAAAAAGGCCTGGAAAGAAGGTTACCAAACTCACTGTGATTACCTTTGGGAAGGAGGAACGAGGGAATAAGGTGAGGCAATTATCAAAGGGGACATGTGCAATATTTTTATATTTTACAAAAATAAAATATATGGGGAAAAATGATGGCTGTTTTTCTGTTACAATGATATAATATGCTGCTACACTTGTCTGGAACTAGCTGATTTTCTCATGTATATAGTTCTTCAGCTGTGTTCTTTGTTTTCAAATTGTTTTGACTATTTTAGGCATTTTGTATTTCCATATGAATTTAGTCTGTCAATTTCTATAAACACCTGCTAGAGTTTTGATTAGGAATTGTAACATATCTGTTTATTAAGAATTTCTTTAACATCTCTGGACAGCTTTTATTCAATTTATATTTAAGTACTTTACTCTTTTTGATGCTATGATAAATTGCATATGTTAATTCCATTTGTTTATTGTCAATATATAGACATATGATTTATTTTTACTATAGTGATATTCGCTCCCAGGAATCTGCTGAATTTATTTGTTCTAGTACTACTTCTATAGATTCCATAAGATTTTCTACATGGATAGTCATCTTCTGGGGGTTGAGTTTGACTTTTCTTGTTCTAATCTGGATTCCTTTGATTCATTTCATTTTCTTAATTATACTGGCTAGGATATTCTTGCCTAGTTTATGATTTTAGGGAAGTAATATTTAGTGGTTTACTCCTAAGTATGATGGTTCCTATAGCTATGTTACAGATGTTCTTTTTTATGTTGAGGAAGTCCTCTTCTTTGCATAGTGTGCTGAGAGTTTTTAATAGTGGGCATTGCACTTTTTCAAATGCTTTTCTGCATTTATTGCGATGATCTTATAATTTTCTTAGTTAATATAGAGATTGGTTGCTTTTTAGCTGTTTAAGCAACAGTTGCATTCCTGGGGTAAGTTCTACTTGGTCATAATGTATTATCCTTTTACTATATTGTTGGATCCAATTTGCTAATAATTTGTAAAGAATTTTTGCATCTATGTTTATGAGAGATATTGGCCTATTTTGCTTTTTTGATAAACAGGAATATATATTTCTTCAGATTTGGGAAACTTGTATGTTATTTCAGACATTTTTGCTGATCTTCCCTTCTCTTCTATCCTTTAGAACTCCAATTATACATCTCCCTGATCTCTTGTACCAATAGTAGTCCTATAGATGACTGATAATTTGTTTACTTTTTCCTTTTTTATTATTTATTTAAAAAATAATTTACTTATTTTTTGGGGGGAGAGGGGAAGATAGAGAAAAAGATTGAGAAATATCGTTTTGGTTGCCTCTTGAACATGCCCCAGCTGGGATCGGACCGCAACCCAGGCATGTGCCCTGACTGGTAATCAAACCTGCAACCCTATGCTTTGCAGGCCTGTGCTCAACCAACTGACCCCTGCTGGTTGGGGCTGTTTACTTTTTCCATTCATTTTTCTCTTCATTGCATTTTGAATAGTTTTCATGGTTGTTTTCAAATTCTAATTATTTTTCTTCAATATCTAGTCACCTGTTAATCCCACTCAATTTATTTTTCACTTCTAACGTTGTAATTTTTTATCTTGCAGAAGTTTAATTTTCATTTAAAAAATGTCTTTCATATATCTACTTAACATGTTTAAGCTTTCCTGTAGCTTCTTGAACATATGAATAGAGTTGTAACTGTTTTAATATCTTTGATACTAATTCTGTCGTCTTTGCCATTTCTTTGTTGTTTTCAATCGAATGATTTCTCTCCTCATTATAGATTACATTTTCCTGCCTCTTTGCATGCTTGGTAATTATTTATTTATTTATTTATTTATTTTTTCAGACCGTGTGAGTTCTACCGTATTTGGTGCTGGATATTTTTGTATTATAATAAATATTCTTGAGCTTTATTCTAGGATGTGGTTAACTTACTGAGAGGCAGTTTCATCTCTTCAGGTCTTGCTTTATACTGTTACATGTGACTAGGGAAGCATTTAGCCTTGAGCTAATTTTGTTTTGCTATCCGGGCCAAACAGTCTAAGTATTATAACAGATGCACCTAGAATGAGGTTTTTTACTTTGACTGGTGGGAACAGGAGCTGTTTCTGGCTTTGTGTGAACTTGGGGATTGTTTCCTCTAAAACTTTCATATTATTCTTTCCCAGGTTTTGGGTAATTTCTTCTTTTTTAAGAAAAAAAATTATTCTCACCATAAATGCCTCAACTTTATACAAGTAGTCAGTGAAAGGTATAAAAAAGGTTACAACATAACACTCTTATCATTTCACATTTTTTCCTTTGTGACATAATCAAGTATATTTTTATTTTTGGAGCTGTATACTGTTTAATTTAACAAGCCTAAATGTCTATAAAGTTTAACTTTTCAAGTAAGAATATAGGGCTTTATGACTATTAATTTTACTATCAAAATATCTAATGGACTCACCCATTTTAATAATTATAATTTTTCTAAATGTCACTTGGAGAATTCTTTGCGCACACTAGACTCAAGACTACACTAAATGGAAACAGTATACCTATGACCAGAGTTTTAAAGTTTATCACCTCATACTGCAGTAACCTGTCTTCAACCTGCTACTTCCTCTCATGCTTTCTTCATTTACTTACACAAATTGTTAGATTTTTACATTGGACTCCCTCCTCCAGGGCTCTATTAGATAATTTTGTAAACATGCATTTATGGCCTTCAAACAGCAACATTTTTAAACTGAGATTAATGCCTAGAGTCACATTTCTTGATAAAATTTAAAGATTTATAGCTCTGGAGCTTTAACCCAACACTGACTGAAAAAGGAGCCAAATTCCTGATAGTACCATAAATCTTAAAACCCAAAAGTGCAATTCTAACTTTTTAAATATCACTTGTGAAGAAAAGTCAACTGCACTTATTACCTCAACACTGTTAAAGGATAAGTGACGCAACAAAGGGGCCTACTCATATATCTGAAGACCAAGATTTACCATGGCAAAGTATAAAAA